CCCAGTTGGCGTGTACATGAGGCAACCAATCAACGTTTTTCTCTCTCTCTCTCTCCCCCCCTCCTTTCCTCTCTCTAAACTCAATAAACATATCCTCGGATGCGGATTAAAATAAATAAAAGTATTAAAACCTACAGTCACCCTGCATTTCATGCAGTCAAAATTTCAACTTCTTAAAAATGGCCTACTTAAGATTCTAAACACTAAAAACTCTCTCAAATGATGTCTTGCTCTTCTCCTTTCTTAAACTCACCCAGTATTGTCCTTCTTCACCGCCATTTTACTTGATTCTTAGCCTGAAATACACTTTCCCCACATATCTACCTCACTCCTTACAAGACTTTACTCACGGCACATTTGTAGTGAGGTCTTCCCTAAACACCCTATGCAAAAGTGTTGCACACACACATTCTCTCCATATTCCCCTTTCATTATTTTCCTCCAAAGCAATTATCACTCTATAATTTAGATGTTTATTGTTTAATGTCTATATACCCTGACACTAGAAAATAAGCTTCTTAAAGGCAAATGTTTTTGTCAATTATGTTCACTCCTGAATTGCTATCACTAAACTAAATAATAAGTACCACAACTAAATATCAATATTAAAACAATGTCTAATACATAGTAAACATTCATTAAATTTCTACTAGATGAATAAAGGATTAAGGTACCAAAAAACCAAGAATAAGAAAGCAATAGGTACAGAATTCTAAGAAGAAATACTCAATAAACACTAAAAAGTCTAACCCTATTAATAAATGAATTTAAGAAAATATTATGTTGCCTACTAAATAAAAAATACTAGCCAGTGTTAAAGATACTCAAAATACAGTAATTTTATATATAAAATTACTTATATATGAATTTTAATATTGAATTATGGCAAAGAATAGCAAGACATCATTTGAGAGTGTTTTTAGTGTTTAGAATCTTAAGTAGGCCATCTTAAGAAGTTGAAATTTTGATTTTTGATATTTTATGTCATATATAAAATATATGATATTCAAAATACAGTAATTCAAAATATAAAGATATTCAAAATACAGTAATTTTACTGTAAAGATAAAGATATTCAAAATACAGTATTTTTTTACAAATAAAAACTGAAAAAACAAAAGATCTGATGCAAAAGGAATAATAAAACAATTTCTGGTGATGGTTAGTATAATTATTAAATAATATATGCTAGCTGAAATACAAAGATCATGATTTTACTTAACCCTTACAATGTAAGTAATACGACGTCTATTCTATAAGTAAGAAAACTAAGGACTAGAAAAAGTAAACATCAAGCATAAGGTTCTTAAGTTGCAAAACTGGATCTGAACCCAGGTTCTTTAGACTCTACTAACTACATTGTCCCTTTAGATCCATAAGATGAAATTCTATACAGCCATTATACTATATTTTAGATAATATTTAACTGGAATTTTTTAAAAAGTGCTGCAAAAGAAAGCAAGACACAAAACTTTATGTAATTTATACAGACACCCAAACAGGACTGGATTAGACTGGAAAGAAAATTTCTGGATAATGGGATTAAAAGTAACTTTAACACACTTCTTTCTTATACTACTTTTGTATTTTTTAAGTACTCTATAATATATACATTCTTTCATAATCAGGAAAAAAACAATCACTATTATCAATTAAAGCTGAATCTTGGACTTCTATACTTCCTCCAGCTTGCAAACTATATATACCTCCTACCTGCTTTGTTCCTTGTATCTACTATATGTAAGGTAGTTTGAGTTCCAACCAATATTTAGTATGGTGAAGAAACTCATATATATAAAAACATACATAGCTGACATTACCTTCCAACTACCAATTTTACTTTGTGTATCTAATTTATTTCAATCCCATTTATTCATTTAAGTAATGTTCATGTTTAACTCTTTCATCGCCTAATCTTATGTATCTTTCTTTTTCTATAAAGAGCGCCTTATTAATACACTAGTTTAAACAAGCTTGTGTAGCTTCTTCACATATATATTATACCTGACCTAAATAGAGAGTAATCTAAAATGATATGGGAAATAAGGATGGTGAAGTAAGGTTTGATAAATTATAAAGAAATGTGAAAGGACTGGCTGAAATGAAGAACCTAAAAACCAATAATATATATTTTTAATAACAGTGATATTAATGAACATATAAATTTCATATACATGTTTTCCAAGTTCTTCCACCTCTGATAGAGAACCTAACCAATACATTGCTTACTGATTATCATCTAAATATTATATCATAGGGAGGAGAGGCCTTAGCAACCCTAGTTTTTTGTTTGTTTGTTTTAACAGATAAGGACATGTGTTCTTTTAACCATTAAAAAAGAAATCCATGCCCTGGCTGAGTAGCTGGGTTGGTTAGAGTGTTGTAACAATACACCAAGGTTGAGGGTTCAATCCCTGGTCAGGGCACATAAAAGAATCAACTGCCTGGCCAGCTGTGGCTCAGCAGTTGAGCACCCACCTAGGATCCAGGAGATCGAGGCTCGATTGCCAGTCAGGGCATATGCCCGGGCTGCAGGCTCGATCCCCAGGTGGGAGCGTGCAGGAGGCAGCCAATCAATGATGACTCTCATTGATGTTTCTATCTCTCTCTCTCCCTCTCCCTTCCTCTCTCTGAAATCAATAAAGATATATTTTAAAAAAAAGAATCAACCAACGAAAGCATAAATAAGTGGAACAAATTGATGATTCTCTCGATGTCTCTCTCTCTGTCTCTTTTCCTTTCTCCCTAAAATCAATCAATCAATAAAAATGTTTTTAAAAAAGAAGAAATTCGCCTGGCCAGGCGTGGCTCAGCGGTTGAGCGTCGACCTAGGATCCAGGCGATCGGGGTTCGATTCCCGGTCAGGGTACATGCCCGGGTTGCGGGATCGATCAATGACTCTCTCATCATTGATGTTTCTCTCTCTCTCTCTCCCTCTCTCCTTTCCTCTCTCTGAAATCAATAAAGATATATTAAAAAAAAAAAAAAGAAGAAATTCATGATGAACAAAAAAACTATAATTTGCCCTGGCCAGGTGTCTCGGTTGTGGGTTCAATTTCCAGTCAGGGCACATACGGCAGGCAAAGGATATCGATGTTTCTCTCACATATCAATGTTTCTCTCTCTCAAAAATCAATAAACATATCCTCAGATGAGAATTAAAAAAAATCTATAATTAATAGAGTGAACACAAACTCTAACAGTGGTCTGGAAATGGTCAGTACTGTCATTAAAGTGGGTATACCAATAAATACCACTTCAAAAAAAAGCCTTTGCATTAAAAAAAGCCTTTCTATAATCAACACAATACTAAAAAAAAGTTTCCATATCATTTTATGAATAAACTTGTTACATGAATATAAGTAGTAATTTTAAATAACTCACCTTTAAAAAAAAAAATCTAGAAAATAATAAATTTCTACAGCAACCAAGAAAGATTCTATTTAATATTTAGTTATCAACCATCTAGGAAGAATAGGCCTAAAAAAAATGATATTATCAATAAAACATAATACTATAGCTCTTTAAAATCATTAGAAAAAAGAACAAAAACAAAAAACAGCTCTCTATAAGGAATACGTAGGGAAGTTACAGGACCCAAACGTGGCATGATACCAGACAAGATCAGAAAACACTGCCCTCAGAAACAAATGCTACCAAGAACCAATACAATCAATCTTTACTGGAAATTAAGTTACCTACAACATGATTTTAAGTGTGCTGTGATAAGTGTAAGGTAGATACTAAATCTCATTAAGGCACAAAAGGTATGTCACTAAAAAAAAGTACTTATAGAAAACATAACCAAATTAAGGTAACCAATAATCGTAAATATATCTGTCATAAGAGCTGTTAGAAGAGGTCATTAAAAACATCCTAAATATTGATGGAAAAGAACATGATTAAATAAATTATGGCAAAATTACCCTCTGGAATACTATGCAGCTATTAAGTTTAAGGTATCAACAATAAAGGTAAATTTAAAGAAAAAAAGTTTAAGACAGAATGCAGAAACCAGATGTATATAGAACCCAGAAAGATCTCAGACATATTCTTAAGGGGAAAAGTCAGGTGCTGACTGATATGCAGCTTGTGGGCAAAGAATGGCAGGAAGGTGTATTTCTCTATTACTCTTAAACATTTTCTATAATCCTTCATTACTTACTGCCAGTATTAGTCTTGCTTAGTTATTTTAGAGCCTCACAGTGTTGATTTTACTGATAAATTTTCATCTGTATCAGTGTATTTTCCAAATTAGTCATGTTCCTTGAGGAGATGGATTATGACATATACTCCAATCTGGTACTTAGCATGAGTCCCATACACAAAAATAGATGCATAAATAATATTTGTGGATGGCTAACAACGTGTAAAATATGAAGGAGTAAGAAGGGGCATTTTAGTAGCAGAGAAACTAAAACACACATTAAGTGGGAAAACCAGGACCACAATATAGTTCTTCAGGCTTTTTGGGACAACATGTTTTATGCAACCACAAGCTCTTTGAGAAATTCTAATAACAAAATCTGTTAAAAGCTTGAAAACCTATGCATAAAATATTCAATCTATGACTTTAATAATATTTACTGTCTGCCCTGGCTGCTTTGGCTCAGTGGTTAAGAGCAATGGCCCGTGGACCAAAAGGTCCAGGGTTCAATTTTTGGTCAAGAGCACATGCCTCCATTGCAGGCTCATCCCCAGGACCCGGTCAGGGCGTATAGGAGGTAACCAATCAATGTTTCTTTCTCTCTCTCTCTCTCTCTC